GGGCCCCTTGGAGAAGGGCGGGTTGAGTTTCCCTCTCTGCCTCGAGCAGAGCTCCGGCAGCTAAAGATCTCTGGGACCTAGCTACAGCCATGCTGAGACCACTCTCCAAACACTTGGATGAGCCTCACACATGAAGGAACCAGCAGAGGAACCCAGGTGTGTGGGAGCCAGGGCTGAGATCTCCAGGCCTGCTTGGTTCAGAACTGGGCCTCTTCCACCCAGATCCCCCATCTTCCAGTAGCTAGACAGTTACACCCACCAACTGCCGTGTAACCTCAACAATGGCCAGGATCCAGAGACTTTAAAACCAAGCTCACTCTCAGAGAATCTGGCAGGCTACTGAGAGTATCCTGCCCGCATATATGCCTGATTGGGAACATCTGTAAAGGTGATTATAGGCTGCCCCAAAAGCCTCCATCCCTCTCGGAGAGCCTGGCAGGCTGCCGAGAGTATCCTGCCCGCATGGCAGAGCCTGGCAAGCTACGCCTGGCATACTGGATATGCCAAAAACAGTAACAATGATGGTCCTCATTCCCCTGACCCTGAAAGAGCCCCCAATATGCCATCAGGCTACACTAGCATGTGACAAGAACAAATGAAGATATTACTGGTGCCCACTCGAGCAAATTGATGAACAAAGGGGTGATAGTGAAAGTGATAGTGATTATTGAATTACCATGAGATACAGTTACAAGCTTTCATGTTTGAGTTACAATCATATAATGATCAAACATCCATCCCTCCACCAGTGTACATTCCCCACCACCAATCTCTCCAGTATATCCCTCCTTCCCACCCTCCCCCTGCCTCCTTGGGAGACAATTTCCCTCATACCATACTCTCTCTCTACTTTGGGGCATTATGGTTTGCAATACAGATACTGAGAGGTTATCATGTTTGGTTCTTTATCTACTTTCAGCACACCTTTCCCATCCTGAGCGATTCGATCCATCATTGTCTTAGTGATCCCTCCTCTATTCCAGCTGCCTTCTCCCCCAGTTCATGACAGGGTTTCCAACTATGGAGCAATCTTCCTGGCCCTTGTGTCTACTGTTCTTGCATGTCAGTCTCATGTTAAGTTATTTTATATTACATAAATGAGTGCAGTTCTTCTGAACATCAAAATTTTTAATTAGGTACTGTAGCTCTGTAGCTCTGTCCTCCCTTTGCTCATCAATTTTACTCGAGCGGGCACCAGTAACGTCTCCATTGTGAGACTTGTTGTTACTGTTTTTGGTATATCGAATATGCCACAGGGAGCTTGCTGGCCCTGCAGTGCAATGGAATATACTCTTAATAGCTTGCCGGGCTTTCCGAGAAGGGTGGGGAAATCGAACCTGGTTTGACTGCGTGCAAGGCAAATGCCCTACCTGCTGTGCTATTGCTCCAGCCCACTTTACCAATTTCATAAGGTAAAGCTATTATTTAATTGAAAAATATTAATAATATTTACTTATATCCTGTGTCAAAAACATTCATATTTATAACAAAAACTCAAGTGCTTACATTTAAACAGAAGAGGGAAAAATGCTGATGACAATGGACAGAGTCTTCACACCAGGTAATAGTACACCTACATTGAGTAGAAAAGTAAAATCGGTTAAGTAATTTTTGCAATATGGATTTACTTCTAGTAATCAAGATGATGTGGGAAAAAGTTCTTTGATTAGTGTATGATGAGGTTTTGATGGCAGAGAGCAAGGAACCATTCAAACAAAAAACAACATCTTAACACTAAGCTTGCAGTGTGTACTGCAATAAACACTAGAAATATATAGGCCAACTTTTAAAAGCTTCAAAGAAAAACAATGTTTTGATAAATTTATTACTAGCAACAAAAAATTTTTTACTTGTGTCTTATAAAATGTTCTCTTTAGTTGCAAAATCTGAAAAGCCTTACAAGATAGTAACAATCTCATATTGTCTATTGCAGTTAACAGACCAGAAATAGCTCTTGGGAGAAAAGTATATGGATGAAGTTCGTAAAATTTTTTCATCAAATGTTACTGTTTTTAATGGAATTTCCAGAATTAGTAACAACCTATTCCAGCAGTTTATTACCAGACTTTACTAATGTACAAATTCAGCGATAGGAAACAGCTATTTCTAACACGGCATATCTGTGGCTATTTATGTTTATGAAAAATTATTCACATATATAAAGAGTTATTGTTTTGTTGCCCTATGGAAGGGTTTACCAGAGGGGGTGATGTATATTTTACGGTCAGTGAGTTTTTCACAAATGAAGGTTTGCAACGTAAAAATTGCATTGGAATATGTACAGACAGTGCTGACACAATGATGGACTAGAATGTTGGATTTGTTGCAAAAGTTAAAGCTGGTGGCACTGAACATAATGGTTTTATTTACTGCATGATCCTGGAGCCAAAAAAAAAATACCTCACCAGTTAGATGTTGGGCTAAGCAATACTATAAAAAATAATTAACTTACTAAAAGCTCTCAGGGATCATTCCTGGCCACAATTCGGGGATCACATGGGATGAGGGACATGGAACCTGTGTTGGCTGTGTGTAAGGTAAGCCCCACTTGCTGTACTTTATCTCCAGCCTTAAACATATTTTTGAAATTGAAAGATAAGGTTGTTATATTTTTGTCTAAGCAGAAATATGATTTTTAATAGCTTTTAATGATGTATGGCTTTCAGAATTGTGTTACTTATCAGATATATTTAAAGCTTGATGATTTAAACATTTCAGTAAAATTGTAATGTAACCTATAGCTTCTGTTTAAAGAGAAAAATAATAAAAAAATTTTAAAAGAGAGGAAAAAATAAAGTTGTACTTAAAATGTTAACATGTGAAAGAGTAGGTAGAAAAATATTTAAGAAGTGATTCTAGCTATTGAGATTTCATAGTTGAAAATATTTTTGAAAAAAATTTTGAAAGTTTTTTTTGTTTTCAGTCCACACCCAGTCGTGCTCAGGGCTTATTCCAGGTTCTATGCTCACTCCTGGTGTATCTCAGGGAACCATAAGGGTACTGGGGGTAGAACCCGGAGTCCTTGTTATACTATACTTGAACCACCTCTCCACCAAGGTTTAATTTTAAGATTTAAAATCAGTAATTTTATCTATAAAGTTGTTTTTTTTATAAGAGAGATGCCTGCCATAGAGGCAGGCTGGAGTGGGGGGTGACTTGTGGAGGTGAGAGGGAAACTGGGGACTCTGGTGCTGGGAAATTACACTGGTGGAGGGATGGGTGTTGGAACACTGTATGACTGAACCCCAATCATGAAAAGCTTTGTTATGCTCTATCTCATGGTGATTCAATAAAATAGATAAAAAAGAAAAAAAGAAAAAAAATCAGTAATTTGAAGTGCCTGGAGAAAGTTCCAGATATCTATCGCTTCAAATTTTCAGTCTAAAAATTAAGTTAGATTAATAAAACTCAACTATAATAATAATAATAAAAATCAGTCATCTACCTGATGTTCAAGAACTGAAATAAAGTCATCTGCCACAAAGAGACACATGTTTGAAACTGGTGTTTCCTAAGAAAATGATTAAATGATTTTTGGCTTACAATTAGGCTACAATGAGGACAGACTTTCCAAAAATTCAGTCAGTTTCTGAAATGGCCCTAAACATTCTTATGCCATTTGTTACTATGCATTTATATGAGGTGTCATTCTCAGCATCGACTATATAAAATCCAAATATTGATTGACTCTGAAAATACATTCAGGATGCTCTACCTCCTGTGTATCAAAGTGAAGAATAAATTCTCCCAGGGCTAGAGAGATAGTACAGGTATTGAGGCACCTGCTTTGCAAGTGGAGGGCCCCTGTTGGAATTCCAGGACCTCAGATAGTCCCTAGGACACTGCCAGCACTGATCTCTGAGCACAGACCCAAGAGTAAGACCTGAGCATTGGCAGGCTCAGAGTCACTTTAAACTTGTATCCATCCTGTTATAAATTTAACTCCAGCTCTAACAAACACCCTATTTAAAATTTTAGAATTGCTGGACATCTCATGCTTTATGCCATCGATGTACCAAGAGTAGCACACCACATTTGATGAGGTGTAAAGTAGAAGGCAACCGATCTTGATAAAATATATATATATATATATATATATATATATATATATATATGCAACCCAATGCCAAGCCATCAAAAATCTGATGGGTGGGACACATAATGCGATTTAGAGATGACCACTGGACTAGAGCTGTTACCGACTGGATTCCACGGGATGTCAAAAAAACGCATGGCTGCCCACTTACAAGATGAACAGACTTCTTCATCAAAACCCTGAATGAATGGTTTGAAGCTCTTCGTGTTCCTAGAATGAGCAGATGCCATTGGGCTACACTAGCACATGAGAGGGACGAATAGAGATACAATACTGGTGCCCGCTCGAGCTAATTGATGAGCATCGGGATGACAAGTGATACAAGTGAAGTGATATATATGTTCACAAAGCTCAATCTCTAACAACATGTTAGTGATCTCTTATACAGGGGCTTAATGGCTCCTATGGGAGATACAATAACTTTCACACACTTTCCTTTAAGGAAACTTCCTTTCTTAATCCGTTTTAGCAGATTACTCATAACAAGCAATACAAAAGAAATTATTTAGCATCTATCTGCTGGTGGGGCAGGCTTAGGTGACAGTGGGAAAATTGGAATCATTGGTAGTGGGAAGTATCATGGTGGTGGGATTGGTGTTGAAATAGTGAATGGAATCAATTACTGTGAACAACTCTATAAAATAAAATAAAATAAATAATATTTCTATCGATAGTCTTGATGTAGAGAAAAATCAGACTTTTATATTCTGTTAAGTTGGACAGTATTAGTATTAGTTATCATGTCTGATTATGAAGCACCATTAAAAAAAGTGTCCTGGATCTCTGTAGATGGAAAACTTCAGGAATATGGGGGGAGGGGGGCATAGCTTAAAAAAGCAAAAGGAAGGTTTGAAAAAATCGAAAGTGAAAATAATTCTAACTCAAGGGCAACGTGGGCGAGGTCTTATTCCGACGTCCGCCAGATCCGCTGGCGCATTGGACAGTCTGGTCTGGCTGCTTCACTTCCCATTTGAACCTTGCATCGGAGCGCGGGGCAGGGGAGTGTCTGGCGGTCCTGCGAAGCCCACCAGTTCCCAGGAACCCGCCGCCTCCGCTGCCCCCGAGGCCGCCGAGCTTCCCTGCGCGTCTCGCGCGGAGCGCCCCGGAGGGTGAGTGGGGCGCCCCGATTCCCAGCGGGTCCCCAGCAGTCCCTGCTCCCGGGTCTGCACCCTGCTGTGCGCCCGTTCCCCACCCCGTTCCCTGCACAGACGCCCAATCACCTAGGTGGGTGCACCTCGCCCCACCCCGGGCTCTCCTTCCGATTCTAGTGCCCTCCAGGCCTCTGAGCTTGCCTGGCTGCTTTGCGGAAACCGAAACTTAATACGGGTTGTTCCCCCCCCGCCCCCCCCCCCCCCCCCACCGTGCTGGAAAGTGTCCCGGGAGACTGGGATTCCTTATCTAAGGGACATAGCTCCTTGGCAGCCCAAGACTTTGGCAGGGGAACCTAGCTTTTCAAACACGCTGGGGTTTTCTGAGCCATCTATAGAATACTGCAATGACAACTAGAATGTCAGAATGTGGAGCATGCAGAGGGGTTTTTTTTTTTTTGAAACTGGGTATCAGCATCTTAGAATCACCCCCTAATTTCTTCCCTGCATTCTTACTTTTTTCTTTCTGATCAGACTTTTCTAAAGCAGATTTCCATACGGGACAGGGCCTGGCATCAGGCAGTTATTGAGAAAACAGGTGGTAAAGTGGCATTTTGACCATTAGCTGCCATTTTAAGTTACCAGGTGGATTAGATTAGACACCATACATTGTGTATCTTCAAATTTTGTAGGTTGTGTTGTTAAAAAAAATCATAGAAACAACTGAATAGAAAAGTAGGGAAAGAACAAACAATCACGGTGGGAAACATGATTAAAATGCTGTGCAACAAGTTTCCAAGAAAGGAAGTGCTGGACTAAGAGGGGTTTTTGTTGTTGTTGAGAGAGAGAGAGAGAGAGAGTTCATTCACCTTTAGTTGTTTTCCAGGATACTCATGTATTTGTCAGTGGCAATGGTGGGCATGCGCAGCTGAGGAGTGTACAGTGGCTGTACCTGGTATGAACAGAAACCGAAATGAAGGTCAAATGTCATAGAAAGTGTGCTTTTAACGATGGTATTGAGAAAGGAGAAGTGTGTAGCCTGACCTTCTGCGCAGACTCCACTCAGTTGTTTTTAGGTTCAGTCTTGATTTAACCAATGTCAAATGAATGGAACAATGGGACTTCTCCCAGGTAGGGGGTTAACAAACCCTCGAAAATATGGCCCTGAGCTCAGATACAGAAGGGAACACCAAGTAAAGGGGGTTTGGAGGGACTGCTCGGGATGGGAGATACATGCCAAAAGTAGACTATAGACCGAAAATGATGGCCATTCAACACCTGCATTGCAGACCACAATACCCTAAAGGAGAGAGAGAGAGAGAGAGAGAGAGAGAGAGAGAGAGAGAGAGAGAGAGAGAGAGAGAGAGAGAGAGAGTGTAGAAGGGAATGCGCCTGCCACAGAGGCTGGGGTGGGGGGACAGGAAATGGGGGGGGAGATGGGAAGGATACTGGGAACATTGGTGGTGGAAAATGGGCACTAGTGGAGGCATGGGTACTCAATCATTGTACGACCGAAACATAAGCACGAAAGTTTCTGAGTCTGTAACTACCTCACAGTGATTCAATAAAAAATTTTAAAAAAAGAAAAAAGTTGGCGGGGGTTTGGGGGAAAGTTAACGCAGAACCATCTTCATATTTTACTTTTTGGGTGGTAAGTGCTGGGAGATGGAACTGGGACCTCACATAAAGGGAGTCACACACTCATGTGTTGTGTTACATGTTCCAGATTTCCAGCCCATGAGATCTCCATGTGTAAAATCAGCTGGTGACAGCTTCAATCTACAAAGTTCTCCTTTGCAGTGCAACCCCAACTTGCTCACAGGTTCTGGGAAGAAGCACGTGGGTTCTCTTTAAGGTGACCCATATGCTGTCTGCTCTCTGATAGCATTGTACATTCCATACACGGTGGGAAAGAATCTAGATACTAATCATGCTAGAGGAAATTCTTTTATTATTATCATTAATTTAATTTTTATCAGTGAAACATCATGGGGTACAGTTGTAGACTTACAAAGTTTAGTGCTTGGGTTTCAGTTATGTAATGATCAAGTACCCATCCCTCCACCAGTGCCCATTCTCCACCACCAATGATCCCAGTAACCCGCTCATCCCCCCCAACCCATCCCCACCCCCCGCCCCACCTCTGTCACAGGGCATTCACTTTTGCTCCCTCTTTCCTTTAGGGTGTTGTGGTTTGCAATAGAGGTATTGAGTGGCCATCCATTGTGTTCGGTCTATAGTCTACTTTCAGCACGCATCTTCCACCCTTTACTTGGTGTTCCCTTCTCTATCTAAGCTGCCTTTTCCCCCAGTATGCGCTGCCGGCATCCAAGTCATGGAGCAAACCTCCTGGTACTTATCTCAACTATTCTTGGGTGTTTGTCTCCCATTCTGTTACTTTATATACCACAAACGAGTGCAGTCTTTCTATGTCTGTCCCTCTCTTTCTGACTCATTTCACTTAGCATGATACTTTTAATGTAGAACCACTTGTATGCAAATTTCATGACTTCATCTTTTCTAACAGCTGTATAGTATTCCATTGTGTAAATGTACCAAACTTTCTTTAACCAGTCATCTGTTCTAGGACACTAGGGTTTTTTCCAGATTTTGGCTATTGTAAACAGTGCAGCAATGAACATGCAAGTGCAGATGTCATTTTGACTGTACTTTTTTCATCTCCGGGATATATTCCCAGGAGTGATATTGCTGGGTCAAATGGGAGCTCGATTTCTAATTTTTTTTTGAGGATAGTCCATACTGTTTTCCAAAAGGGCTGAACCAGTCAGCATTCCCACCAGCAGTGAAAGAGAGTCCCTTTCTCCCCACATTCGTGCCAACACCGGTTGCTTTTGTTCTTTTGGATGTGGGCCAGTCTCTGTGGTATGAGATGATATGTCATTGTTGATCTGCATCTTCCTGATGATTAGCGATGTAGAGCACTTTCTCATGTGCCTTTTAACCATTCAGATTTCTTCTTTGAGAAAGTTTCTGTTCATTTCATTGCCCCATTTTCTGATGGGGTTGGATGTTTTCTTCTTGTGGAGTTAGACCAGACCTTGTATGTCCTTGATCTCAACCCCTTATCGGATGAGTATTGGGTGAATATCCTTTCCCATTCTGTAGACTGTCTTTGTATTTTGGTCACTGTTTCTTTTGAGGTGCAGAAGCTTCTTAGTTTAAGATACTCCCATTTGTTTATGTCTGTTTTCACTTGTTTGTCTAGTGGCATGTCATCTTTGAAGATAACCGTTAGTTTCAGTGTCGTGGAGGATTTTGCCGATCTTGTCTTCAATGTACCTTATGAATTCTGCTCTGATGCTGAGGTCTTTAATCCATTTTGATCTGACTTTTGTACATGGCGTTAGGTAGAGGTCTGTCCACTTTTGCCAGTGCCATTTGTTAAAGAGGCTTTCCTTGCTCCACTCACATTTCTTGCTCTCTTATCAAAGATTAGTTGATTATATATTTGGAGGTGTGTGTCAGGATATTTAACCCTGTTCTATTGGTCTGTGGTTCTGCCTTCGTTCCAGTACCATGCTGTTTTAATTATTATAGCTTTGTAGTAGAGTTTGAGATTGGGGAGGGTGATTCCTCCCGTTATCTTTTTCCCCAGAATTGCTTTAGCTATTTGTGGGGGCTTATTATTCCATATGAGTTTCTGGAGTGTTTGCTTTATTTCTTTGAAAAATGTCATGGGTATCTTTATAGGGATCACACTGAATTTGTACAGTGCTTGGGGGAATATTGTCATTTTGATAATGTTGGTCTTCCTGATCCATTAGCAGAGGATATCTTTCCATTTCCTCATGTCCTCTAGAGAAAATTATTGGGGGTTATTTTGACGTAGAACATTTTCATGTATTAACAATATTATGAGCTTTTATTAGAAGTTCAAAATAATCTTAACTTTTAAAAAACAATGCTATAGTTTCTGCTTTCTGGAAAAGTAGTGAGTAATTCATATGCATTAGATGTGCAGAGAACAAACAATTGGGTAAGGAAACTGCACAATGTCACAAATAATGGATTTTCCCTTGTAGGACCTTGTATTGTGTCAAGAAGAGTAGATATGGTCCTTGACTTTGAGGTCATGATTACCTAGTCATGGAATATGACGTGCAGATAGTTACAGATTCCCAAAAAAGGCGAAAGAGAGAGAACTTTCGGGAGAATCAGAAAGGGTTTCAAACTGGGGGTGTGTGCAATTTTGAATGGACCTTGAAGAATATTAAGATTTTATTAAGTGGAAATTAAGGTTGGTAGTAGAGGAACGATGTGCCATCCAGAAAGAGAAGAAAGGGAAGAGGAAGAATGTTCAATGGATTTGTATGTATAGTATGTCCAGCTGTGGTCTAAAAAGACTACAATTTTGATAAATTTGGGTTAGGTTGTGCAAGACTTTGGATGAATGTTGAGAGCACTTGTAAGAATTATATAATTGATATTTTGGGGTTATATATGGGGAAAGAGAGCCGTATGTGTAGACTAACTTCTATTTTTAAACTATTTCTAACTGGGGGCTGGAACTGTAATGGGGGCTTGCCTTGCACATGGCTGGTCCAGGTTCAATCCTGGACACTACATGTGAGAAGCCCTGTCAGAAGCGATCCCTGAGTGCAGAGACAGGAGTAACCCTTAAACACTTTGGGTGTTGGCCAAAACAGAAAGAAAGAAAGAGGAAAGAAAAAAAGAAAGAAAGAAAGAAAGAAAGAAAGAAAGAAAGTATTGTCACTTTTTTGGTGACTTTGTCATAGGTGCTGCAAATACTATGTGGCTTGTATGAAATAAATTTATATTTGAACAGAACACTATTTCGAATATATATATGTATATATATATATATATAAGCAAAACAAAAGAATAAAAAGAAAAAAAACAAGAGAGAAAATCTGTTTGAAGTAAAGATGTAATTTTTGTCCCCTAAGTCAAGTAAATGGACTTAAGGGGAGTAAAGAAGCCACAGGTAAGAACCTATGGCTCTGTAGGGAGTGTTCTGGAGGGCTGGAGAGTAGTTCACAGCCTTCAGGAGTCCTGGATTCATCCCATTATTTCATGGTTTCCTGACAATACCAGGAGTGACCCCTAAACAGAGATTCAGAAGAGCCCCTTTCCAATCCCAAGCCCCCAGGTATGCCCTCCCCCAACTGAAAAAAAAAAAACATTTTCTTTTAACCTGGATCAACATTTTGAGGGTATAGATGGGAGAACTGAATATTTAAATCAAAACCTTTGGGAGAAAAAGCAGTGAGAGACAAACCAGTAATCCTTTATTAGCAGAGGAGCCTTGGGGTGACACAAAACTGTGCTCAGGGCTTACACTGCTTCTGTACTTACTGGTGATTGAACCTTATTTGGCCAAATGCAAGGCTAGAGCCCTATCTGTTGTACTGTCACTCTGGCCCCATAAATAATTTTAGTAGTCGTCTTAAATAAAACATCATGTGATTGGGATGAGAACTACAGGGAAATGTTAATACCTTTTATTTTGGGGGGCCGGAGAGATAGTACAGAGGATAGGGCCTTTTCCCTGCACACTGCCGACCCAGGTTCTATCCCTGGCATACCATATAGTTACCCAGGCACTGCCAGGAGTAATTAATTCCTGAGTGCAGAAGCAGGAGTAATCCCTGAGCATTGCTGGGTGTGGCCTCCAAAGCAAAAATAAATAAATAAATAAATAAATAAATAAAGTAAAAGTAAAGTAAAGTAAAGGCCCTCCCATTAATCATCCATTTGCTCGAGCGGGCCCAGTAACGTCTCCATTGGAGACTTTGTTGTTACTGTGTCTGGCATATCGAATACTCTCGGTAGCTTGCCCGGCTCTCCGAGAGGGGCGGAGGAATCGAACTCGGGTCAGTCATGTTGGCTGCGTGCAAGGCAGACGCCCTACCCGCTGTGCTATCGCTCCAGCCCTATTGTTCTGAAAAGCAAATAAATTTTAGAACACTTTTTATGTATTTGTAAGTGTTAAAGTTATCTGATGGAGGCTGAGTACAGTGAGTAGGGTGCTTGCCTTGCACGCAGTTGATCTGGGTTCGACCCCTGGCACCCCATATAGTGGTCCCCTGTTCTCTGCCAGGAGTGATCTGTGAATGAATAGCCAGGAGCAAGCCCTGTATACCACCGGGTGTAGCTCCAAAACTTATATATATAAAAAAAGAATATTTGAAATGTAGACTTTGTTTAGATAGAAATCACGTGATGGCAAAAAACTTTCATGACAGAAAAGATGCTTCTGTAAAAGTGAAAAGAGTGTTATTTCTCTTTGAATTTCGTGCATGAACTATTTTTTAAAATGTTTAATTTTTATAGCAGTTAAGGAATCATGGTAGATGATAATGACAAAAAGCCAGTTCTTCAGGAGCAAAAGCCAGATGAAGAACCTTTGAAAGATGAACAATACAAGGTAAATAAAGAAAAAATAATGGGTATGAATAAAACTTAAATTTTAATTATCTGCAATAAGACATATTTATGTTCTTGTACAAAATTATCTCAGATTGGGGAGGATATTGATGTCTTCTTCATTATTCAAAGCTTATTCCCCCCCCCAATTTTATTGCAAATTACAAAGTTATTCATAGTGAATTACAAAGTTATTCATAGTTGGTTTTTTGGCGTACAATGTTTTGTCACCAATTCCCACCACCAGTGTAAACTCCCTCTACCAGTGTTCCCAGATTCCCTCTCCTACCCACCTACCCCAACCACAGCCTGCTGCTGTCTTGACAGACACCTTTTAAATTTGGTTATTAAAGTTAAGTCTCATGATTTCAGTGTTGCTAACTCTGTGGTTTGGATATTTAACTCTATCATTCCTTAACACCGCCTATGTACCTGGGTCCTTTTGACCCGTACCCCCATTGCTTCTCATCTATCTCTTCTCCCCTTCTTCTTCACTTTATTTCTTTCCTTCTCCCTAAACTCTAGGACTACGGGTGGTCTATGCCTCTCCACCCTCCTTGAACCATTGCATTTCTTCATGCAGTGTTACTCTAAATTACCCAGTTACTCTAAATAACACATATAAGTGATTTTATCCTGCATTTTTTCTTCTTCTGGCTTACTTCATTTAAACCTTATAAGAATAATCACATTTATATTCTATCTTTACAAAAATTAATATGACAGCTGCACCTTTAATTTTCACCTAGAACTTAAAGACCCAGACCCAATAGGGTAAGGTAGCTTAAATCATTTACTCAAGGTAGTTATCTTCCAGAACACACAGTGGTACCATAGAACACAACAAAAATGTTTGGTTTTGTGCCACAGTTGGCAGTGCTCAAGAACTATTCCAGGCTCTGTGCTCTGGAGTGACCCCTGGAGGTTTTGCAGGGAGCATATGTGGTGCAGGGAATTTTAACCAGGGTGGTGTCACTCCAGCCATGTGGAAGGCCTGGCGTTACCTCCTACATTGTCTCTTGGGTTCCAGAAAAAAAAATTGCCCACAGAATAACACATCTACAGTTACTACAGTTGCAACACTGAACCAAGACTCAAGATCTAGATCGAGTTGTTTTATACCATAAACTTTCTGTGACTTTGATCTAGACAGTTTTCTCTTTGTACAAGGAGAATCATACTGGTCAGTGGTAGAAAAATCAACAGATGATGATGTAAAACTTTAACAAGTAGGGGTGGAGCAATAGTACAGTGGGTGGACCATTTGCCCTGCATGCTGCTGACCTGGGTCCTATCTCTGGTTCCCATATGGTCCCCTGAGCACTGCTAGGAGTAATTCCTGAGTGCAGAGCCAGGAGTAACCCCTGAACATTGCCGCGTGTGACCCAAAACACCAAAACACAAAAAACCAAAAACCCTTCACCAAGTGTACCATTTATGTCACAGTCATGGTCCTCCCGTTGTTCATCGATTTGCTCGAGCGGGCCCAGTAATGTCTCCATCATGAGACTTGTTGTTACTGTGTTTGTCATAACGAATACGTCACGGGGAGCTTGCCAGGCTCTGCCGTGCGGGCGAGATACTGTCGGTAGCTTGCCAGGCTCTCTGAGAGGGGCGGAGGAATCGAACTCGGGTCGGCCATGTTGGCCGCTTGTAAGGCAAATGCACTACCGCTGTGCAATCTCTCCAGCCCACCATTTATGTAGTTATATTTATTGTGAAACTGCCTAGTGTTTTGTCTTGCCTTGTTCAGGCTGAAAGAAATTTAGTTTCTTTAATTCATTTAGGAAAATGAACTTGGGATTGTTTAATATTTTGGTACTCCTTGATATATTTTAGGAATTAATTGATGAAATTACAAAGGAAAATATTCAGCTAAAGGAGGAGATCCAGAAGCTGGAAGCTGAGTTACAAGAGGCTGCAAGAAATTCACAGGTAACTTTTTATCTTATGTATCACATTTTTTGACAGACAACAATTTTTCATATTTAATCTAATTTCAGTCATTTTATGATGATTTGATTACATAAAATTCACCTTTACAAGATTATGATCGGGATCAGAGAGATAGCACAGTGGATAAGGGGTGCTTGCCTTGTATGTGGCTGACCAGGCTTCCATCCCAGCAACACATATGTTCCTCCACCCCCAGCACCACCAGGAGTGATCCCTGATGGCAGATCCTGGAGTAAGCCCTGAGTGTAGCTGGGTGTGACCCACAAACCCAAAAATAAAAACAAGATAAAAGATTATGATATTCTTTGGAACTACTGTTAGTAATAACCCAAATTGAAAACCACCCAGATGTTGTTTCCATGGTAGAATAAATTAATAATTGGGGTGTGTTCATACATTGGAAAACTACACAACCATGAGAATGAGTAGACTGCAACTATATGCAACAACGTGGATAAAAATTTATAAAAACAAAATGTTCAGCCAAAAAATACAGAAGGGGACAGACCATCTGCTTCCATTTAAAGAAAGCAGAAAGCAAGATTAGCGCACCAGTCACCCAGGCACCAGGTGGGAACTGCCAGGGACCCCAAAGAGAACTGTTTATTCTTATTTATTTTTAAATTTTTATTGAGTCATTATCAATTATAAAGTTGTTTATGATTGTGTTTCAGGCATACAGTGTTCCAACACCAGTCCCTCCATCAGTGTCCCCAGTTTCCCGCCCATTCCCTCTTCCTGTCTCTGTGACCAGAGATTTTTTTTTAGGCACTGTGGTTTACAATTCTTTTACTGATAGGGTATCATCCACATCATTTTACCTCCTCCTCCAAGAAAGACCCCTTGCTGTCACCATTGTCTTAGTGTTCCCTTCCTTTGCTTACCCCCCCACCCTCAACTCAGTGGTAAGCTTTCTGCTGAAGACCAGTTCTGATGTCAAAGAGAACTTTTTGAGTATTGGTCATGTTCTTCTGACTATTGATCTGATGCTGGTCATATGTGTGCATAAAACCTGTAAAAGTTTTGTAAAAATTTTCAATTTAATTCAGTAAAATTTTATCTTGCTGTATACTTGTAATAATGTAACTTTTAAATATTTATGTATGTTAATGCAACTTTTAAAAGTGATCCCTATTAATCACTTTTGGGTCAAATTATTAGGTGTCTCAGTTCTTTTCTTGTCTCACCAAGATTTAAACAAATCAATTATTATATTATTTTAAATTATTATAACACCAAGGAGCTGTAATAATTTTAGTGAAAAAAATTAAAAATATAAAAATTTCAGTGAGTGTCAGGGAGATATTTTCGAGGTCAAGGCACTTAGCTTGGCTGCAGACAACCCTGATTTGCTCCCTGGCACCACTTATGGCTCCTGAACACTTCCAGGTGTGATTGGAATGAGCATAGAGCTCGGAATAAGCCCTGAGTACCTCTGGGTGTGGTTCGTACTGCCCACTCCCCTTAATTTCAATGAATTCTATAATTTAAAATAAAATTGAGTGTATATTAATTTTTAAGTTTTCTACTACTTTTCCATATACTTGAATTAGTATCCTTGAATTTGCCCACTGTGAATCTGCCCTGGTTATAGGCTACCCAGTTCTGTTTGGACCCTCAGCATGCCCGCAAATGCCACTTCATTGACTATTCCTAATCCCTCTGCCATAACACGTTTAATTATGGCATGGAAAATAACCATGGGAGTAGAAATGCTAACAACTGACTCATCTAAGCATTTATGTGTCATTGTGTGAAATTGTTAACAATAGCCATTGGGGCCTGAGAGATAATACAGTGGGTAGGGTGTTTGCTTACTCATAGCCAACTGCTGTTGGATCCTCAGTACCATACATGGTCTACCAAACATTTTCAGGAATGATACCTTAGTATAGAGTCAGAAGTAAGCCCCGAGCACAGGCAGGTGTAGCCCCAAACCAAATCAAAACAAAATAAAACAAAAAGTCATTAACCTTTTGGGTATTTTTTTGCTTTTTGGGTCACAGCTGGCGATGCACGGGGGTTACTTCTGGCTCTGCACTCAGGAATTACTTCTGACTGTGCTCAGGGGACCATAAGGGATGCTAGGAATCGAACCTGGGTCGGCCGCATGCAAGGCAAACACCCTACCCACTGTACTATCACTCCAGCCCCAAAGTCAATAACTATTTAATTCAATCTTTAAGATTAAAAACTCTTGTGGAGATTGTCTATTTATATGTATATATATATAATTTAGGATTTATATAATGACCATAATTTAGGATATATATGTGTGTACGTGTGTGTGTGTGTGTGTGTGTGTGTGTCTGTGTGTATTGTGGTCATGTGGTCATGTTTTAAAAGTTGGGGAATGGAAAAATTTAATATAATGAATTTCAAATCATATCAAGGAATGCAACATTTTGAGTTAAACTATATGGGGTTGCTACTAAAATAACCATAGAGAACACCTGACCTTATGAGAGTAAATATACTGTCTGTCTGTGATTCCTTTATGAGACTGGCATACCTGTTATAAAGGTACTTAACTATAGGAATGACATAAGTTCTAGAATTAAATATCATAAAGTATTGGCTAATTTAAACATTGCTTTGAAAAGGTAAGAGATTATATACTTAAAATTTCATCTGCAAATTAATAGTAAAGGATCAGCACTTGATTACATGACTGTGTGCTTACCTGAGCAAAAGATGTATTACAAATATTATGTAAGACCATACTTAGTGTTCTGAGGGGTTCTAAAATCACTGGAGAATGAATTACTGGCTGATTAAATGAGATTGTCATTGGAAGGACTAATTTATTGTCTTGATTATATTGAACATTTCTCTTTGGATTAGATTAAAGAGGATATTCCTGACTTTAAGCTGAAATTCAGGACCGTGGAGAATCCTGAGAATATCAGAAGGTTTTTAAATGTCTCCTGCTCATTTCAAGTGAACTCTCAAATTTCTTATGAGCTACAAAAAGGACAAGCACTTATCACCTTTGAAAATGAAGAAGGTATAGCCAATGTTTACAGGTTGCCCCTCTTCTGGAAAGCACTTGGACTCTCAAAGAGTTTTATAACTATTACGTTACATTTTTCACACTTATTATTTTGTCTCATCCTTCCCATGACACCCTGAAAGAGGCATGCTTGCTTATCCAACCCCATTTTATCAGGGAGAAATATTAGTTGACGTGAATAGTATTACATATTCAGAACATGATTTCTGAGTCTCAAGTCTGGATATTGTAATGTCTAGTACCAGTATCTTTCTACATCGCAGGTTTCTTCCAAATGATAGAATTAGTAATGATATTTGGAGGGATTAGAGGTTTACACAATTCTCAGCATTCTGACAGATGTCTCATTTTTTGTCTCATTTTGTACTCAGCGTGACACTTTTTTGTTTGCTTGTTTTGTTTTGGGGCCACACCTGACAATGCTCAGAATTATTCCTGGCTCTACACTCAGGAATTACAGTTGGTGATACTTGGGCCACCCATCACGTAGGATGCTGGAATAGAACTGGGTGGGCCATGTGCAAGGCAAAATACCCTTGTACTATTTCTCTAGCCTCACATGTCTCCATGAAAACAAACAAACAAAAAACAGGAGCACAGGAGAGTTACTGTTTGTATGTTATGGTCAAGAAAAGGAATTAATTTCTAGATGTTTTAGTGATTTGTCTTAAAGCATGTGGCCAATAAATGGGAAGGGTTGAGGAGTCAGAGGTTTGGGATGGGCCAAGTGTTTGTCAGATGAGCGGTGTAGGATCCTGCCCAGAGCTGGGAACAGCAGATTGAGAAGTCTCTGTCTCCAAGTGACAGCTTTGGCCCTTCCTAGAAATGTCATTTACATTGGAATCTTTATATTTCAGGTCTTGGTGGTATTACCTATCTCTGAGAGTTGCATTAAATATCCTATGAGAATTGTTGATAAAATACTTAACAGTGTCTGGCACGTATTAAACACTTCATAGTTTTTTGTTCTTACTGTATACATTAGAAATGGCATGTTTTCAGATTTAAAAACAACAACAACAACAACAACAGCAACAACAACCAAATAGGGTAAAGGACTGGCTTGAGTCCTACACAGTTTACAAGTTGCAATGCTGTGATCCAAATGCCGAATGCCATTATTTTCTGCAACATTCCTCTGTGGTAGGCCAAGTAGGCCTTCCCTTTCAAGTCAAGTTGTGGGGTAGGACTAACTATTCTTCACAAGTCCTCCCAGAGCTCCAATTCTGGGGAGTTGCTGATTGTAGCTCACATTTTCTGGTAGCTGTTCTCTCACAGTGTTGTGAAAATCATGTTAAAAAGAAAGACATTTGAGCAAATAATTGCATGTTTGTTTACCCCGCAAGGTCCACTTCTGCACTAGAGGGTTGTTGAGGAGATAAGGAGCTTTGCTGATTTGGGAGGTAGTAAAAGGGCTGGCAAGGGAATGCTCCTTTAACCCTGTGCTGGGAGATGATACTGATGGGTGCATTCCCTGGCAGAATAGAAAGGACCAAATGGAATAATTGGAATACCACCGGAAGGGAAGAGGGAATTTGGGAGGCAAGGTTTCTGCATGGGAGTACCTGGGAATGATGCAATAGATTTTCTTCCGAAGCAGCCTGCCATTGTTTCCACCCTTGGCCTGGCTTTGAGAGCCTCTTCTCTGGGGCCATCTTTGGGTTCGACACATTTTCAAGAAAAGTTGGCTTTTTCTAGAATCACACAAAAATTGAACCACAAGTAATCCCCCTCAGCTGCATCAGATGGCCAGATGTTGGAGGCTTGGGGGGAGTGGGAGGGAAGGCAAATCATCTGAGTATTACTTCACTGAGCTTCTCTGTTATTGTTGCCTGTTGTCATAAACAACACAAAGGAAGTCATGATTCAAGTTTTCAAGTCACAAAGTGGTAGGATCCTGCTGAATTCCCACATGACAACGCCCTGCCTTCTACCCTCATTCTCTCTTCCTCCAGCTGTGGTGATTGTGTTCTCTGGTTGCCATAAACACATGGGAGGGAGGTGTAGAAAATCAGAAGAGGCACCTCTCATTGTCAGAACATATTTAAGTAGCTACAAATAGTAGCAACTGAAGTGTGTTAAACTCTCCTGACACAAACTTAGGGATAAATCTTCATAGATAAATATGCATTTAATTAAAAAAAATTAGGAACCTTGTTTTCATAACTGGTATTGGTAGGGTTTCTTACATAAAACGTTCCAGTATTATACCTTCTACCAGAGTGTCTGCTTCCCTTCACAATTGTGCTAGTCTTCCCATACCCCCAACCCCCATTCTCTCTTCTGTGGCAAGCTTCCTACTGTAGTTTTATTCTTAATTTCTGTTGCTTTTGAGCCCTTAATGTGTTTCTTTATCCCCACATACAAGAGAGATCATTTAGTATTGGACCCTCTCCTTCTGACTAACTTCACTCTTTAGACCCATCCACATGGCAGCAAATTGCATGATTTCAATTTTTCTTATAGCTGAGTAGTATTCCATTGTATATGTATACCAAAGTTGCTTTATCCAGTCTTCTATTCTTGTTTTATTTTTCCTTTGCTTTTTGGGTCACACCCGGCGATGCACAAGGGCTACTCCTGGCTCATGCACTCAGGAATTACTCCTGGCGATGCTTGGGGGACCATATGGGATGCTGGGAATTGAACCTGGGTCAGCGCATGCAAGGCAAACGCCCTACCCGCTGTGCTATTGCTCCAGCCCCACAATCATCTATTCTTGGTCGCTTGGGGTGTTTCCAGATTTTAGCTATTGCTAATAGTGTTGCAGTGAACGTAGGAGAGAATTTTTTTTTATTGTTGTTTTTCTGAATAATGTTTTTGTCCCCTTGAGGTAGATGCCAAAAAGAGAGGAATTGTTGGGTCATAGAGAAGCTCGATTCCTAGTTTCTTCAGACATATCTATGTTGATGTTTTCCAAGAGGTCAGACCAGTCCAGATTCCCATCAGTAGTAAATGAGGGTTCCTTTTCCCCCACATTCACACCAACTGTGGTTGTTTTTTGTTCTTTGTGATGTATGCCAGTCTCATTGGTGTGAGGTGATATCTCACATCAGTTTTGATTTGCATTTCCCTAAAGGTAAGTGATTCAGAGCATTTTCCCCCCATATTATTAGCCATCTGCATGTCTTCTTTGACAAAGTTTCTATTTTTCTCTTGCCCCATTTCTTAAATGGGGCTGGTTGTTTCTTATAAATAAAAAAATAACAGTGCTCTATGTATTTTGGATGTCAACTCTAACAGATGAACCTATCTACATGCATTTTAACCTGATATGTAGTTGATGTTTAGAGTTATAATGTCACTTTATTATTTGGGGGATAATTAGATTACTGAGCCTCTCCCATTTTCATGGAAAACTTAGACTTGATAGCTCTGTGATTATAGCAAGACTGCCAACTCTTTTTTTTTCTTTCTTTTTTTTTATTATTAGTGAAACACCATGAGGTACAGTTGTAGATTTACAATTTTTTGTGCTTGGGTTTCGATTATACAATGATCAAATACCCATCCCTCCACCAGTGCTCATTTTCCACCACCATGGATAATATCCCTCCCACCCCCATCCCCCCATACCACCCTGCCTCTGTGGCAGGCAATCCCTTGTGTTCTCTCTCTCCTTTTGGGTGTTGTGGTCTGCAAAAGAGGCATTGAGTGGCAAACATGTTCAAGGATTGCCAACTCTTAATGTTCTTAAGAGCAATTGAATGAAAGTAGAATTTCTCATTAAGTACAGTCCTCCAAACTCCTCTCTTTTGGTAATCAAGCCTGTGTTATCTTTGGGAAAGTCAGAGACAAAAATGAATATTTATTTCTCTGGTATTTATAACAGAATAAAGAGAAATGATGATCGGGGCACGACAGCTCAGTGGGCTAATTACACTTAAAGCAGGAGGTCTAGTTTTGATCCCTGGCACTGCATAGTCCCCGGAGCACCCCTGAAAGTGACCCTCAATTCCTGAGCTCAGAGCTGGGAGAAGCCCCTGAGAACCAGTGGGTGTGGCTCCCCCAAATATGTAAAGGGGAACAATGATTGATAAATAAGATTAAATTACAGATGACACCAAGTTATTTCTAATGTTTTCCCAGCTTACTCAATTTTCTGGTAATTTATTAAGACGTGGAAAGAAAGAATATGTAGTTATACTGAAGCAATTATGAATTTCCAAAGAATTGTGAGGTTTATCTCTTAAAAAATAAAACTAAAATTTCCTGAGAATTTCTGCATTTCAAGTTTGCTAATGTGTTTTGGCATAATTATGTCCTAACATTGTCACTTGGTATTCCCAAGAAAAAATAGAAAATTAAGTTATTGAAAATTAGAGTATATTGATGGAGCTCAATAGTAGAGGGCCTGCGTGCTTCTATGTATGGAAGAACTTGAGTTAATCCCTGGTAACACACACAGTAAATATAAATACATATACATATATAATTTATGTATACTTAGATATATTTATATCTATAACTTAGATATGTTTATATGTAAGAGTGAGAGAAAAGAGAGGGGCTAATTATGAATGTCCAGAACAATTTGATCTTAAGCTGAAAGTATAAAAACTTCAAATATTAGAAATTAATATTTCTCAACCTTTTTTCAGTTGCTCAAAACGTGATCAGTATAGGAAAACATCAAGTGATAATCAATGATGTAGCTGTGGAGCTGATGGCTAATCCTGTTCCATTAAACTCTGGAGTCAGATTCCAGGTAACATGGGGAAAGCTTTTAAGAATTCTGTTAATTGGGGCCAGAGAGATAGTACAGTGGTTAGGGCACTTGCCTTGTACAGAGCCAACCCAGGTTCCATCCCCACCATTCCATATAGTCCCATGATCATCACCAAAAATGATTCCTTAGTATAGAGCCAGGAGTAACCTCTGAGCATAACCGGGTTTGGTCCAGAAAACAAAACCAAAGATTCTTTGAAACAAAGGCATTTTCATCTGTATTTTTGAATATAAACACAATTTTCCAGTTTCATGTGGAAATTTCTAAGATGAAGATCAGTATCACTGGAATTCCTGATATACTGCCTGAAAATCTCATGAGAGACAAGCTGGAACTAACCTTTTATAAGTCCCGGAACGGAGGTGGAGAGGTGGATCATGTGGAATATGATAAGGAGTCCGGAAGTGCCGTGATCACGTTTGTGGAAAGTGGAGGTACTCAGACATTTAGAAAGTTAAAAAAACGCTAGACCATTTAAATTATGCTTTTGAATTTCTGAAACTATTCCTCTTTTGCTTTCTTTTGTGGGGGGGGGGATGGGACATATGGGTTCATACCTGGTAAACTGGAATTTGGGGCTCACTCCTAGATTTCTGCTCTGAGTTCCCACCTGGCAGTGTTGGGGAACCATGGAATGTTAGGGAAGCATGGAGTGTCAGGGATTGAAACAGAGTCAGCTGCATACGAAGCAAGATGTAATCCTTGTACATCTCTTCGTCTCTGTTTTATTGGTGATTTATTACCATCCATGCTAATTAGAGTAATCTTACAAACTGGTGTCCAGAAAATTATTTCCATGAATGTTACCTAGAATGACAAAATTACAAATAATAGGAAAATATATTAGTCTATTTTTGTGTGATACCAGGCAAGGAACTAAGGGTCCTCCTCTACCTCTATCTCCTCTGACCCACAGAATCTTTGGAGGTAGATGTCATGCTCACTTTCCTGGTTAGGTAATTAAGGTAAAGGAAGGATAAGTAATGTATTGAAGATCACACAGTAGGTATGTGACAGAGCAATTAAAGTGTGTGTGTGTGTGTGTGTGTGTATACACATAATTGAACTATATATTTCATCTCACCTGTCATGACTATGAAGGGTATTTTAGGAGGAAAGAACTTTATTCCAGGGGAGACTATTAGAGTGACTAAAAATACAATTATGTGTTGTTTTCTTTTAGGTAGAAATAAATTTTTACCAAGCCATTTTATGAAAGTTTAGATTTTTTTTTGATTTATAAAAAGCAGATTTAACAGTTGCTTTCGTTAATATATATATATTTTTTACTTTTTGGGTCACACCCGGTGATGCTCAGGGGTTACTCCTGGCTCTGCACTCTGGAATTACTCCTGGTGGTGCTCAGAGGACCATATGGGATGCTGGGATTTGAACCCGGGTCGGCCGCGTGCTAGGCAAACACCTTACCCGCTGTGCTATCACTCCAGCCCCTCGTTAATATATTCTTAAGCTTTTCTAGATTTGAACAGGTAACTATAATATATTATTTAAGACAACAACTGAGGGTCAGAGAGACAGTAGTGTATAAGGTGCTTGCCTTGCATGTGGCTAGTCTGGGTTCTGTCCCCAACACCACCAGAGCACAAGAGTGATCCCTGAACACAGAGCCAGGAGTAAGCCCTGAGCAACACCAGGTGTGGCCCAGAAACTGAAAAAAAAAATCTTTTTTTTTGTAGGAGTACTGTTATTTATTCAGCCACTGATTAGCTGATTGAATTGGGCATGAACACCATAATTTTCTTTATTTTTTTCTTTTTATATTTATTTATTAAAGCACTGTGGGAAAAGTTACTAAGCCTTCAGGTTTAAGTCTCGGTCATACAATGATCAAACACCTTTCCCTTCACCAGTACTCACTTTTCACCACCAAGAACCCCAGTATACCCCACCTCCCACCCCTCCAAATGCCTGTGAGGCAGATGATTTCTGCTTAACCCTTCTCTGCATTGATTACATTCACTATTTCGACAAAAGATGCACCATTATTGTTTAGAATTTCCCTCCAAACAATCAGAATTGCTGAAAAAGCATTGTGAAATATTTTGTTTTCTATAGCTGGTTATGAGAATCATATAATGTCACGTGGCCACGATTTTGGATTTCTGCAAAGAGCCAGATAATTACGAGACTGGTTTCTGTGTATCTGGTGTTATGGTCATGCCGGAGAGCTGCTCGTGGGGGGTAACTCGTGATCTCGGTAGGGCGTGGAGGACGAGTCGGTATCTCCCCCCTTCCCATGAGACTGCAGTTGACCCGTCACCGCCCACTCATACCTGGTTTCCTATAAGCTCTGAGGCGGCGGCCACCTTGCTGCCGGGGGGGGGGGGGGTGGGGCGGGTGGCAGGGGGAGGAAAGGCAGAAGGGAGCAACACCCTTTCCCTCCTGGGGAGGCATGGCGCCATAGTTTAACGCATGGTCCATTCACTTTTCTTCTGCAAGCTGCTGGGCTCTGGACTAAGTCCTTTTGCCTCTGGAGCCATGGCTGTGCCAGAGAGACACTTGTGGGGGGCAACTCATGACCTCGGTAGGGCGTGAAGGACGGGCCGGTACCGTCCCCTTCCCATGAGACTGCAGTTGCCCCTTCACCACCGGTTCATATCTGACTTTCCAATAAGCTCTGAGGTGTCGGCCACCTTGTATGCAGTCTAGATGCATTTCTACCAAAAGCCGCTGGGTTTCAAGATTTGTTTCTGAGTCTCCGGTATCATGGCCATTAATCAGCTTGATCAGGAGCCAGAGAGGCCGTTCGTAGGCAGCGACTCAGGGTCCCGTTGGGATGGGGAGAAAGAGTCGACTCCACCCCCATGTGGTGAGGCCCCGTGTGTCTCGTCACTGCAGGCCCAAACCTGACTGTCCAGTGGCCTCTGGAGAATGGTGGTCACTAGGCAGCCAGGGGGAACAGGCCAAGGCACAAAACCTATTCCCACCTGTAGTGGCCCAGCACCAGTAACCTACTGAACAGGACACATTTGTGTCAGAAGCTTTGGGTTCCGAGATTCGTTTCTGAGTCTCTAGGATCATGGCCATTAAGCAGTTCGATCAGGAATCAGAGAGGCCATGCCTCCAATTATATAGCTGAGCCGGACGTGGCTTGTGGGTGTGTCTCCCACATACCTAACTTTTGGCCGTTTACTTTCTTGGTAAACTTTTCCCCAAGTTTTTGGGGTCTGGCCAAAGGCACAGCAGCAATTTTGGAGTATCTGAAAGTCTGACGTTGCCATCAGGCACTCACCTCACAGGTACAGATTGACCTGCTGGTGGCACCATACCCCCGAAAAAAATCTTTTTAAGCCTGAATCATATTTCATTGTATGTATGTCCCACTGTCACTGTCCTTCGGTTGTTCATCGATTTGCTCCAGTGGGCCCAGTAACATTGTGAGATTTGTTGCTACTGTGTTTGGCATATTGAATACCTCACGGGTAGGTTGCCAGGCTTTGCCATGCGGGCAAGATACTCTCAGTAGATTGCCGGGCTATTTAATTATTTGTTGATGGACATTGGCTTTTTTCACCTTTGACTCTTGCCAAATGCTCCCAATGAAGTGTGAATAACTCAGTCCCTACTTTCAATTCTTTTGTGGCTGCAACTAGAAGTGGAATTGCTGGATGATTGTAATTCTATGTTTAATGTTTTTGTGGAACTGCCATGGTGCTTTCCACAGTGGCTACACCTTTTTACAGTCCTCCCAGCATTGTACCAGGGTTCCAACTCCTCCCACGTCTTCACCCACAAGGATTTTTACTCTTAAGTATTGTGCCATGCCAATAACAGGTGGGTTGTTGAGAAGGTGGATCATTAGAGGAAGGAAAAAAAGGGAAAAAATAGGGAAAAAAGTGATTCGTATTCTTAAGGACTATTTTTGCTAAGTATTGTGCAATATTTGCACTACCTTTTTTCCCTGTAGGAGAAAGTTTCTGCTAAACTGAAGTAGAGGAAGAATTAGTAATATATCCTATATATATGTCTTAAAATCTTAATTAAGACATAAAAATATGTCTTAATCACTTAACAGATAAATGGATACAAAAATTGTGTATCTATACACGAAGGAATATTACTCACCTACACAAAAGGATAAAATCTTGTCTTCAGCTACGCTGGCGTAGAATTAGAGGGTGTTATGTCAAATGAAATAAGTCTGAAAGGGGAACAGTGAATTTCAGATGATCTCTGTCATATGGGGTGTATAAACAAAAACAAAAGATGGGGCCAGAGCGATAGTATAGCAGGTAGGGTATTTGCCTTACACAAGGCTGACCCGGGTTCAATCCCCAGCATCCCATATGGTCCTATAAGCTCCACTAGGAGTAATTTTTGAGTGAAGATCCAGGACTAACCCCTGTGCATCGCTGGGTATGACTCCCCCCCAAAAATATTAAAACAAGAGAAATGGAATAGTTGATGATAAATAAAAACAAAATCTTAAAACTCTGACAACAAAACTGATTTTACCAAAGGGAGTATAAGGTGAGTAGCAAGATGGATGTGGTGCTCTGGGCAGGGATGATGGGAAAAAGTGGACTAGAAGTCATGTAAGGGCAGTGGCAGGTAGTTTGGGGCATAATAGTGGTGGTGGATGTGGATAACTTTACAGACCAAATGCGTATATGTTAATGCTATTGTAAAAAAATTTTTTAATACAATTCTTCAATTCACTATTTGCTAAGATATCATTGTTTTTGACAGCAATTTTAGCTTTTGTTTTAAAATGTTATTTATTTAAAAGGGTTATAATTTCTTTGTAAATTTAATTCTAGTTGTTGACAGGATTTTGAAAAAGAAAAACCATGCTCTTTATCTAAATCAGGACTGCCATAAAGTGACTGTCTCTCCATATGTAGAAACATACTTGAAGAAGTTCCAGGTAAAGTGAGTTCTTTTCTTCCATCTTGAGAACCTTCTGTTTAATGCTACCTCAAAAACAATAAAAAGTTGTGAGTCTGTTATTGTTTGAGCCGTCTCAGGGAGGGATATCCACAGGGTTCTTTCCCTCCTGCTTGATGGAGGATGTTTGTCTTCTTTGAAATATTTTCATAAAAACACTGTATCTTGATTATACAATTGTTTTAAACTGAAATGACTGATAATTGTACAGTCTTTATTTTCATCTGTGGAAACATAACTACATTTCTCTCATGTGTCTACTCTCATTGGTCATTGAACATGATTTTCCTATTCATTTTTTCTAAATCCTTATCTCGACGTCAGTGAGCCTCATGGGTGGCTTATGTGAAGTGGGGAGGAGAAAGACAGTCATCTTTCTTTCTCCCTATCCACCTCTGCCACCTTGGACCCAGGGTTACTGGATTCTTGTCTTGCCTTGCAGAAAAGAATTTCAGGAGTAGATAAGCAGTGAAGTAAAACAGATTTTATTTGAAGGTTTTTGAGAGAAGGAGGAAGAGAAAGTGGGAGAGAGTGGAGAGTAATGTATTTAAGGGAGAACCCAGGCTTCTCCAAGGAAGGGGAGAGCCCCCCCCCCCCCACACACACATCCAGCATTAGACATTAAAGCATGAAAGTACACATCTCAAGAGGAGAAATGTGGGTGACACATGTGCTAGGGCGCCACATGTGCTTGGCCATGTGGGCACAAGCAGCACATGGACTCGGGCAGCATATATATGCCCTTCCTCTGTTCAAATTAGCTTTTACAGGGTTTTTCCAACCTGCTCCCATGTGGGGCTTCTACCTAGATAAGAATCCATTGCTAGGGTTGTTCCTAAGTGGGTAGAATTGGGTGCAGCCTTTGAAACTCGTTTTCTTGATCTTTCGTCCTGCTGGAACTTCTCTTGGAGGATGGGTGCAGCTTTCTCTAGTCTGGGCTAGCTGGGAATTTATCACATTAAAGGAAGGAATTGAGGGTTCTCCAGTAATTTCCTTCATACCTTTTCTGTAGGGAGAAGTCCAGTTTCCTCAGGGTCTATTGCTAGAGAAGGTCTTATCAAATTTTGCTTTCTGTATCTATAAGGTGGGTCAGATTTAGGGCTAGTGGCTTTATTAATTCCAGAAATTTCATTGCCATCATGTGTGTGTGTGTGTGGGGGGGGGGTGGGTGAGGAGGGCCTTCCCTAACCTACCTGCCTGCCTCAATCTTACCCACCAGTGTACTCCCTTTTCCTTTTTTTCCCTGGGGGCTAAGTGGCATCACTTTCTACCTAACAAAATAGACAGCAAGCTAGAACTCTTGATTCAACTCCACATTTTCTTTCTAGCTTTCAGGTGAGCCCAGAGTCTTCCTATTCTTTCCTCTTCTCCTTCGCTCTTTGACTGGACTTGCTGTCCCCAGAAGTTGAGATGTGGTCTCCTTCCTCTTTGCCTCTCTTCACTACAGTTTCACCAGCATGATCCTCCTGAAACTCTGACCTGCAAGGATTTTTTCATAACTTTTGAAAAATCTTCCTGCAGCAGCTTGCCGCTTCTAAGATGAAGTCCAGCACATTGAGCAGTTTATAAAAACAAAAGTTTGCAATTCAAAATCTTAGAAAAATTTTTATTTATCTTCTTAGGTGTTCTCTGGACAGTCGAAGAGAACGGTGCTGCTGACCGGACTCAAATCCATTCAAACAAATGATGAGGAATCTGTTGAAGATTCAGTGAACATTCACTTTCAGCGGAAGAAGAATGGAGGAGGAGAAGTAGAAGTCGTTAAGTGTTGTCTCAACCAGCCTTACAAGGCATACTTTGAAGAACAGACTCAGGGAATTGTATGAAAGCTTCTGAGCCCAAATCACTGTCAATAATTAACCAAAATAATTATTTTTCTTTGGCATCTATTTATTCTAAGATGTCTATTTACATGATTTTGAATTGTTTTAAATGTTATTGTTTTCAACTGTAATAAAGTGCACTAAATTAGAAACATTTTCACTCATTGATTATGAAAATTGTTTCCCAGTCTGGGGAAAACAGCCTTAAGTGATTCAGTGGCCTCCCTACTGCTCCAAATTGTCTGTCCTGGTCATGTGATCTGATTCTCTTTGGCCCAGACTTACAGACATGCAGACTTCACTCAACATTTTTCCAAAACACCCGACCAGTTCGTGACTCCTTCAGATTTGACAGGATCTTCCCTTTTGTGGAGCATTTCACTCACTCCACTTCTCCATAGGTATTTCTCAAAGCTCAGTAAAATTTTTTCTCTTTAATCCTCCTTTACCCAGAGGACCAAGTGTTGTACCCTCTTCAAAATAACTGGCAAGACCAGTTTTCTTCACTCTTTCATTCATTTATCCCCTGGCTGGGAGTTAAGACCCAGTGGTATTGGGGGGAGGGGCAAAATGCAGGGAGGGTTAAATTCAAGACTTCTATCTTTGGTAAGATTTGATCAGATTTTATCTCAATACAGTATGTATAATGAAGATCCAGCAGCAGATTTCAATTCATATTAAATGAATATCTATGCTGGCAGAAGCTGAAAGTTTTTAGAAAAGACTTTTTAGAAAAGTTTTTAGAAAAGACTGGAGAGTTGGTCCACGGTGGGTAGGGCATTTGCTTTGCACTCTGCCAACCCGGATTCTACCCCCAGAACTCCATATGGTCTTCCAAGCCCTGCCAAAAGTGATACCTGAGCACAGAACCAGGAGTAAACCCTGAAGCCCTGAGCAATGCTCACAGTGTCCAAAAAAATGAACAAACAAAACAAACAAAACAAAAACTATCCAAAGACTCTTTGTGCTTAGAGATTAGTCCTGCTGGTGTTTAGTGAACTATGAGGTGTTAAGGATTAAATCTTGCTCAGCCATATTGCAAGCAAGTGCCTCAATGCCTCTACCATCTCTCTGACTCTAGTTTTAGAGATTTTAAAGGAGGAAATTTGCCTTTGAAAATTTAGCAGAAGATACTGTAGTGACAGTTTAAAATACAGAATATTGGGGCTGGAGCGATAGCACAGCAGGTAGGGCGTTTGCCTTGCATGTGGCTGATCCGGGATCGATTCCCAGCATCCCATATGGTCCCCTGAGCACCGTGCGAAGTAATTCCTGAGTCCATGAGCCAGGAGTAACCCCTGAGTATCGTCGGATGTGACCCAAAAAGCAAAAAATAAATAAAAATTTTAAAAAAGTGAAAAAAAATAAAACCCGAATATTGAGATATGGGCCTTTAAGAAGCCCAAGAATAAGTAGGTTCATCTGATCTGTAAAGAAATTCTGGGGCTGAAGTGATGGCAGAGCGGGTAGGGCTTTGCCTTGCATGCAGTTGACTCGGGTTTGATTCCCAGCATTCCATATGGTCCCTCGAGCACCGGGAGAAGTAATTCCTGAGTCCATGAGCCAGGAGTAACCACTGAGCATCATCGGGTGTGACCCAAAATGAAAAAAAAAAAGGAAACTCTCATGTGCTGGGTCAGGAATGACGACTTATGGTCTAACAAGCTTTCATTGTTGTCTATAGATTTGTCAGTCAAGACTGGCTAACTTGAGTTGGGGACTTCGTTCAATGGGCAGTAGTGTATCCTTTCTATGTAGGAGTTCCACATATATCCCCAACACCAGGCTGTCCCTCAGAGCCACTGGATGTAGTTGCTCTCCAGCCCCACTCAATAAAAAAACTTACACTGTAGTCACACAAATTTTCAAAGCTCAGAGGTTGAACAAAAATACAAGTTTAGTTTTCTCACTCATATTGAATGTCCAATACAGGTTAGTAGAGTACTTAGCCCTAATCACTTAGCGGTTCTATGCCAAGCGAGGCCTCTAGAATCACAGAGTGAAGTCTGGGGACTCTTTCACCCAGACTTAATTAATAATTAATAATTAATGAATAATTAAAGCAGTGACCCAGAAGTGATCAATGCCATTTCCTTTTATATCACAGTAACCAGAAACAATCACTATACCTCACAGACGCCTAGGGAACTAGAAAGAAACAGAGTTTAACTTGACAGGACCAGCAATGTGGTTTAGTGGTAGAGCCTTGCCTTATATGCCTGAGGCCCTGGGTTTGGTTCCCAGAAAAAAACCAGCATAGTCTGCCCTTACCTATTGGCCATAAATATTTGGATCATTCTTCTTTACAAACTATGAGTATTCCCCCAAATTAAAAGCTCCATCAATCATATCATCCAACTCAAAGTATAAGAATGCTGGGTGATTTGTAGTAGATTCATAATGGGTCAAGGTCAGAATGTTACTCTTCTTTATTTAAAGGCACCACTTACAGTGATGGAGCAGAATTAAAAAAAAACTCATCTGCAAAAGGGAAGAAGTTGAGACACTGCCATCCCAAAATTCCTTAAGTAGATGTGTGTGCCTTACTGCCAAATATGGAACTGGAATGTTGATTAGGTCCTGATTCTACTGCCTGAAAGATCCTTTTTTGCTCATTATACTTATAGTTTCTTAGTCACCCTGGAAATATCTAGAATGGACATTTGAATTATCTACTTAAAGGCTGAGAAACTTCCGTAGCAATTTCTTATCTCTAACCAGGATCAAAGTTCATAAAGTTTTTATAGTCCCTTTACTCTGAGTGGTTGGTTATCTATATGCTATAATCTAAAACTTTAGTAGGTTTGTTATGTATTCTAATTTGACAAGTACATATGCTAATATTCATGCCCACATATTCTTTTTCTTTTTTTTTTATTAATGAAACACCATGAGGTACAGTTGTAGACTTGCAAAATTTTGTGCTTGGGTTTCGATTACACAATGATCAAATACCCATCCCTCCACCAGTGCCCATTTTCCACCACCATGGATCCCAGTATCCCTCCCACCCCTATACCCCCCATCCCAACCTGCCTCTGTGGCAGGGCATTCCCTTTTGTTTTCTCTCTCCTTTGGGGTGTTGTGGTCTGCAAAAGAGGCATTGAGTGGCAATCATGTTCAGTCCATAGTCTACTTTCAACATGCATCTCCCATCCTGGGAGGATCCTCCCAACACCCTTTATTTGGTGCTCTCTTCTCTATCTGAGCTGCCCTTTCCCCTAGAATGCCTGGCTGGCCTCTAAGCCATGGAGTAATCCTCCTGGTACTGATCTCGGCTATTCTTGGGTATTAATCTCCTATTTTGCTACTTTATGTCCCCCAGATGAATGCAATCTTTTTATGTCTATCCCTCTTTTTCTGACTCTTTTCGCTTAGCATGATACTTTCCATGTGGTACCACTTGTATGTAAATTTTATGACTTCATTTTTTTCTAACAGCTACATAGTACTCCATTGTGTAGATGTAACAAAGTTTCTTTAACCAGTCATCTGTTCTTGGGCACTCAGGTTTTTTTCCAGATTCTGGCTACTGTAAAGAGTGCTGCAATGAACAAACAAGTGCAGATGTCTCTTTGACTATACTTTTTTTGCCTCTCTGGGATATATTTCCAGGAGTGGTATTGCTGGGTCAAATGGGAGCTCAATTTCTAATCTTTGGAGAATGGTCCATACTGTTTTCCAAAAGGGCTGAACCAGTCGGCATTCCGACCAACAGCAAAGGAATGTCCCTTTCTCACCACATTCACGCCAGTATTGGTTGCTTTTGTTCTTTTGGATGTGGGCCAGTCTCTGCGGTGTGAGATGATATCTCATTGTGGTTTTGATCTGCATCTCCCTGATGATTAATGATGTAGAGCATTTTCTCATGTGCTTTTTTGCCATTCGGATTTCTTCTTTGAGAAAGTTTCTGTTCATTTCATTGCCTCATTTTTTTAATGGATTTGGATGTTTTCTTCTGGTGGAGTTCAACCAGTACTTTGTATATCCTTGGTATCAACACCTTATTGGATGGGTATTGGGTGAATATCCTTTCCCATTCTGTAAACTCTCTTTGTATTTTGGTCACTGTTTCTTTGGAGGTGCAGAAGCTTCTTAGTTTAAGATAGTTCCATTTATCTGTCTCTGTTTTCACTTGCTCGACCAGTGGCATGACATCTTTGAAGATACCCTTAGCTTCAATGTCATGGAGGGTCTTGCCAACTTTGTCTTCAATGTACCTTATGGAGTCCGGTCTGATGTTGAGGTCTTTAATCCATTTTGATCTTACTTTTGTACATGGTGCTAGGCAGAGTTCTGAGCCCATTTTTTTTGCATGTAGCTGTCCAGTTTTGCCAGGACAATTTGTTAAAGAGGCTTTCCTTACTCCACATTTCTTGCACCTTTATCAAAGATTAGATGATCATATGATTGAGGGGAGATGTCAGTGTATTCAACCCTGTTCCACTGGTCTGAAGCTCTGCCTTTGTTCCAGTACCATTCTGTTTTAATTATTACTGCTTTGTAGTAGAGTTTGACGTTAGGGAGGTTGATTTCTCCCATTTTCTTTTTCCCCAGAATTGCTTTAGCTATTCGTGGGGGCTTATTGTTCCATATGAACTTCAGCAGTGTTTGCTCCATTTCTTTGAAGAATGTCATGGGTATCCTTATAGGGATTGCATTGAATTTGAACAATGCTTTGTGAAGTATTGCCATTTTGACAATGTTAAGTCTCCCGACCCATGAGCAGGGGATATCTTTCCATTTTCTCATGTCCTCTTTCATTTCCTGAAGTAGCATTTTGTAGTTTTCTTTGTACAGGTCCTTTACTTCCTTAGTTAAGCTGATTCCTAGGTACTTGATTTTCTGGGGCATAATTTTGAATGGGATTGTTTTTTGAAGTCATTTTCTTCTCTCTCACAGTTTGTGTATAGAAAAGTCATGAACTTTTGGGTATTGATTTTATAGCCAGCAACTTTACTATACAAGTCTATTGTTTCTAGGAGTTTTTTGGTGGAGGTTATAGGGTTCTCTAAGTATAGTATCATATCATCTGCGAATAGTGAGAGCTTGATTTCTTCCTTCCTTACCTGGATGCCCTTAATATCTTTTTCTTGCCTAATCGCTATTGCAAGTACTTCCAGTACTATACTGAACAGCATTGGAG